TTTGAGGTACGATGGTAGTGTTTTGTCAGTTCTTCGTTCGTTTCCTAAATTGGAATGACTATTAGAACGCCACAACCAGAGCACTGTTCAGTTTGTAATAAACCTCATTGACTATAGGTGTGTGGGTCTGAGCACTGTTCCAATTTTAAAGGTAAGAACGAAGAAGACTTTGAAATAAAACTCAACTCGGGTTTTTAGGTCGGAAACACTTTTATTATATTAAAACAAACATAAATGAAACACTTAGCAAATTCAAATCGTCTAGCCCGTACTACGATCGACGTTTCACACGTACGACCACAGTACCTACGTCCTCGCCGATTCACTCAGCGACAACGGGACTCTCCCGGTGCCTGCGCGTGCGGCGATGTTATATAGTAATCTTATCGCTGTCTCAGCACATATGCTTCACTGACCTATGTCAATAGTTTACAATTTAAAATGTTCCCACCTCTATTACATATATGAAATAATATTTTGACGACTGTCTACAATATACGACAGTCCCCATTGTTTTTTGAAAAAAAAATGCCCTCATTTTTATTGATGTTTCTACATACAAATGTCTTATTACTACATTAAATACTAATCTACTTTTACACTATATTTCTGTCTCGGCTCATTCGCGAAAAAAATGTAATGCTAGAAACTAAGATAGTAGACTATTCTAACGGAGTAATCTTATACAATTATTCCAACGTATATAGTAATATTCCAAAAGGAATGACAATAGCCACAATTCACGAATTAAACATACAAAATAATTAACACTAATTACAATAATTTAAATTTAAAACAGATAAATCGATATTTCAACCACCGTAATTATTTTTACTGTATAAAACCTATGTCAATAGTTTACAATTTAAAATGTTCCCACCTCTATTACATATATGAAATAATATTTTGACGACTGTCTACAATATGCGACATGTTATACCGTGTATACTCATATGCAATGAGTGCATTTATATGAAATTCTTATAGGATAAGTTGAATTTAAGGTTTATGTTACACTAATTTCAAAGAGTCTTCAATGTGATAAGATCAAGCACACCTATATTTATCACCACTATAAATAAAGTAAAGAATGTATTGAACACTATGATAAAACACATATTTTTGGTTGAATGAACTATTAAATCCAACGACAATAACTTGATAGTAATAACTTGAGTTTAAAGTAGGTACAATATTAAATATCTAATATTTTTTTGTGCGTTGAACGTCAAATCAATACTCAAAGCTTAACCTAACCTCAATAGGTACAATCTTTTACATCGTAGTATAATCTAAAATTGTCATTGTAGTAAACAATTTTAACTTTAAAATCAAGAGCCAATCAAAAAACAAAGAAATTCACAGAAGAATGTATAAATGGTTGAGCATTCATACATGGTTATAATCTTTCTAACAACAATAACTTTGAAACATTGTAAAAACGTATTGCACTGTATAACAGTAAGTGTTTCTAAGAGTACTACATATCTAGTACACACCTGGGTCAGGTGTAAGTAATGGTAGCAGTAGTAGTAATAGTAGTAAGATGTAAGAAAATGTTTAAGTATTTTGTTCATTGGTTATGTTGTGAATACCCATAATAAAAGTTAAAATACAAAGAATTGAACTTTTAATGGTTGTGTGTTCATACACAACAGTAAATGTATGTACTCATAGTGCATTTATATGAAATTATTATATGATAAGTTGAATGTAAGGTTTTTGTTGCACTAATAAAATCATACATGGTTTTCAATGTGATAAAATCAAGTACACCTATATCTATCACCACTATGTATCAAATAACACACATCAGTAGTAAATATGTTACACTGTGTTACAAATAAAGTTAGTTGTATAAATACAGTAAAGAAAGTGATGAACACTACGATAAAACACTTATCCAGTACCTACACATTTCACAAAAAAAGGAGAGTTTAGTAAAGAGTGTAGTAGTAACATTAAGAAAATGTTAATTTATATAGCAAAACGTGAAGTATCCTATTTAGGTCAAAGTTGATATATAAGTATAGTTGTAAGTTAATCTAGGTATCAAATTTTAGTCAATGTATGAGCTTGACCCAGCGTTTGTTATGCAACTGAAATCTGAAACAGTGGCCACACAATTGAATGTCGTTCAAGTTATTCTATACATACAATTATAATATAATAAGCTGAATGGAATTCTTATGATAAAATAGACATTTAGTTTTCAACAATGTTGTACCGAGCCAGTACAGTATTGTTAAGTATATTAAGTAGGTATAGCAGAGTAACCTAAGTTATGTACAGAAACTATTTATATAATATGTATCTAAGATCACAGTGAATATTAACACGGAATAAACGTAAACAAATTTATTGTATTAACTTTAGAAAGTTAAGAAAGTTAGTGTGGGACAGTACGCGTGAGTCAGGTGGCGGACGTGCGGTGCACAGTGTTCAGGATCGTGCGAGTGCGCGCGACCCGAGTGGTGTACGTGCGGTGCTTCGTGTTTAGAATCGTGCGAGGGCATGCGCGTGCGAGCTCCGTGCGGATCGTGCGGGTGCGTTAGCCGGTCACCCCCTCCGGTTCGCCGGACCGGTATCCGTGTGCTAGTGCGCGGTGCGTGCGCGTACGCGAGTGGCACGCTAATACAAAACCGCGAACAGATCGGTGTCGATTTTGAGTCGATCTGTATAAGCCTTAGGGCGAAGAATTGCGGCGCTGTCGGCCCTCAGGTAAGGTGTCAGGCTTAATTAATTAAGTTAGCAGAGCTACATCGGCGTTAGTACGTTATCGGAAAAGTCGTTGGGCTTGAGTAGGTAGGCTCGATAGTTTTAGGTTGACTCGTTCCAAGGACATGGTTATGTCCGACATGGATCTCGATAACTCATTCTCGGTTGGGGTTGAACTCGAGGAGACAGAGGAAACATTAGGAGGAGGTGCCGGCGGTTCGGGGCGTCCTTTAGAGGACATCGAACCCCGGGGAAAAGCAAAACGGAGGAAGGTTGTCGACTCCGACGAGGAAGACGTTTCCGAACGTACCTCTGTCGGGATGTCATCTTTCCCAGAAAAGGCTAGGTTGAGCGGTAGGGAGATGGACGCTGCCCTTCTCAAGGAGAAGGAAAAGAGGAAGATTTCGGCAGCCTTTCACAGGCAGATCTTGGAGTTTCGAGGGAGGTATGAGGTTTTGCTGGACGAGGCCCTCCGGCAGAACACGGTTCTGCTGGGGAGAGTTGAGGAGGCAAGACGCATACATTCGTGCGTAGGCTTGGTTAGGGAAGTCGTAGAGGAGGACGTCACGGTCACCGGAAAACCCTCAAAGGCCAAGGTCCCGGCAAAGAAGACGGTCTCAGCAAAGGAGTCGGCCCCCAAGGCTCAAGCAGCCAAGGAGAACGACTTCGTTGTGGTAGTCAGTAAGAAGAACAAGAGGAAGAAGAAGAGCAAGCAACCAGCGCCAGAAAAGGCCAAGAAGGCCCCGGGGGTGGTCGCCACCGCGACCAAAAAGGCTAAGGCCGTCGAGAGGGAGAAGGCCAGAGCTCCGGCTCGCGCTTTCGTCGTCTCGACGGGCGACGCTGGTGCCGAGGCCGCCAAGAGGGAACTCTGGGCGGACTTGGTAAAGGGCGTGGCTGCGCCAAACTCGGGAACTTCGCCAGGCTCCCCAGTGGCGCCCTGGTGGTCAAACCGACTGACGAGGCGACGTACAAGGCGCTCAAGGAGATGGAGGCCAGCGGAAAGAAGATCACAGAGGAAAAGGCAAGGTGGCCGACCGTCCTCATCTACAACGTGGATAGGGACTTCGGTAGCGAGGTACTCCCAGTTCAGATCGTCGAGCAGAACTCGGGTTTAGGTTTGGTTAAGGAGGACGTGGTCCCCCTCTTCAAGAAGGGGCCCAAGACGGGTGATTTGGTGTGGTGGGTCTGCTCGGTCAGGCCTAGCGCATTCAAGTCCATCGTAGGGAAGAGCCTTTTCATCGGGCTCTCGAAGTGTAGGACTGTTGAATATGTTGACGTAAATAGGTGCTTCAAATGCCAGGGTTTCGGCCACATGGCAAATCGCTGCAAAGCGACGGAGGACACTTGCGGGCGTTGCGCAGCCAAGGGCCATCGGGCAAAAGACTGCAAGAGCGTGCCGGTCAAGTGCGCCAACTAGTGCGCCCCAGTCGGGCCATAAGGAATGTTCAGCTCTGCACAAGGCGACCATAAGGGTCGCCCGTAGGACAGATTTTGGCTCTAAATGATGAACTCGTCGACTTACTGTGTAGCCCAGTTGAACATGAATCTCGTTCCTGATCAGATACTGGACTATCGCAGGGCTAACGGGGTTGAGGTGCTTCTGCTTCAGGAGGTACCGACCTCGGGTAACAGACTTGTAGGATTCGACTACAGTGCCGTTAGGACGGTTCTCAGCTGTAAGGAAGGTAGTGCAAGGGCAGCCATAGTTGTTCTAAATCAGGACATCGAGGTGGTCGCCTTGAAGGGGCTCAGCGATAGACACTTCGCCGTGGCTAGCCTTAGGAAAAGGCATGGTCAGGCGGTCGTTTTCGTGTCGGCTTACTTCAAGTACAGCATCCAGACACACATCTTTACGGCTAGGTTAGGTGGAATCTTGGATAGGATCGACCAAGACGTCGTGATAGGTGCTGATGTGAACGCGCACTCGCCGCAACGGTTCAGTCGGCCGGGCAACAACACGGGTTCAGCCCGTGGGACCCACGTCGAATCCCTGATCGCGGAGAAACACTTGACGGTGAACAACCAGCCAGGCCGCCTCGTCACGTACGAGAGGCACGGTATGGGGTCATCGAACATAGATGTGACTCTGACGAGAGGGGGTTCCTTGGTGAACTCCGTTTCTGAGTGGGACGTGCTCGATATCACCGATAGCGACCACAGGACCATCAGATTCAAGATCCGAATCGGATCAGGGCCAGAAACAGGGCTTCAATACTAGGAAAACCAATTGGGATAGGTTTAGGTGGGTTCTGGCACAGAAGGTTCTCGGTGACCCTGAGACCATGGTGGGTGGGTGCGATGTCGTCGCTGGTGCTCTAACGCGCGCCCTCGGGCAGGCGATGGAAGCCTCGATGCCACTCTCACGCAAGTCCGCTAGGATAAAACCGCCGTGGTGGGACGCTGGACTCGAAGAGTCCAAGAGGCGTCTCAATAACTTCAGGCGCACCAGGGACTACAAAGTCGAGGATAGGGATCAATTCAGAGTGCTCAGGAACGAGCATCTGAAAAAGATTAGGAGGGCTAAGATGGAGTCGTGGAGGAAGTTCGCTACCTCCATAAACTTGGACATCTGGGGCCCTGTCTATCGATGGGCTAGGAATGGTTCTTCTAAGAGTAGGATTCCAAGCTCCGTGCTACGGGAAGACGGAACCTTCACGGTGACGGCTTTGGAGACGGCTGAGTGTCTGTTGGAGAGTCTCATCCCCAGGGACGTGACTGCTCCCATCTTCGAACATGGCATTGTTGAGAGAGAGAGGCCGGAGGTCACGGAGGCGGAGGTTAAGAGGGCCGTCTGGAGGATGGCCCCTAACAAAGCTCCGGGATTGGATGGCCGGGGTTCTCAGGAAGGCCTGGGGCGTAATAGGCACGCCGCTAACCAGTGTTCTGAGAGAGTGCCTTAGGAGGTCGGTCTTTCCGGATTGCTGGAAGACTGATGAGGTCGTGGTCATCAGCAAAGGTCAGGATAGGGACCCGAGTCTTCCTAAGTCATATAGACCGGTCAGCTTGCTTTCGGCACCGTCAAAAGTGCTGGAACGGCTGGTGGTGGACAGACTTGAGGAAGAGACGGGGGAGCTCTGTCAGAGGAGCAACACGGTTTTAGAGTCGGCAAGTCCACAATCATCGCCATTAAGTCGTGTCTGGATTGGGTGGACAACAGTCAGGAAATGGTGGTAGGTGTTTTCTTAGATATCTCAGGCGCTTTCGACAACCTGAGATGGAACATACTGATTAGGGACATGATGACTCTGGGCGCATCAGATGCGACCAGATCCATCATACAAAGCTATCTGACGGGCAGGAGGGCGGTGCTCTCGGTGGAGGGAGCGACAGCATTCGCGGATCTCACCAGAGGCTGCCCTCAAGGCTCACAGCTAGGGCCAAGTCTTTGGAATTTGTCGATGGATAGGGCATTGGTCACCAACAATGATGATAGGGTTAAGCTGGTCGCGTATGCGGACGACCTTGCGGTTCTCATCGCAGGTTCCGACATCTTGGACATTCAAGGACGAGCTTTACGCGACTGGGCGGAGCTGAGAGGTCTAACATTCTCGGCGAGTAAGTCTCAAGCTATCCCTCTGAAAGGCGGGTTGCGGTCGGGTTTCACTGTGTCCTTCGGGGCGCAGGACATCGTGGCCGTGGACTCAGTTAGGTATCTAGGTGTTGAATTGGACAGTAAGAGAAATTTCTGGGCGCACGTGAGCATCGAGTCCGAATCCCTGTACAGTAGGCTAAGAGCGGCATCGTCAGCTGACTGGGGTCTTCGGCAGTCCACCTCCGCAGTAATATACAGGGCAGTCTTCCTGCCCCATATCACTTACGCCGCGGAGACCTGGGCTAAGGGAGTCCTCACCAAGAAGGCGATAAGACTCCTCGGCAGCAAGCAGAGGAGGGCCCTTCGTTCTCTTACGGGGGCATACAGTACCACCTCAACGGACGCGTTGCAGGTGGTAGCTGGGCAGCTGCCTCTCGATCTGGAAATTCGTTGGCATGTGGTTAGGACTAGAAGGAAAGCTGGCCAAATCTCAGAGGAAGTGATGAGCGACCAGTGGGATAGGCTCTTGGACATCTGGCAGGATAGGTGGGATAGTAGCGTGAAGAGTCGTTGGACCTACGGTATCTTCTCAGACATCAGGAGGAGACTGGTCCTCCCACTCGAGGTGGATCACTACGTGTGCCAATTCCTAACGGGGCACGGGGACTTTAACTCCAAGTTGGAGTCCTTCAACCTACGGGGAGAGGCCATGTGCAGGTGGGAGACTGAGGACGAGTCGGTGGACCACGTGCTCTACAGATGCCCTTTGCTCTCTGCTGAGAGAGATAGGGTCATCAGGCAAATTGGCGAGGACGTTTGGCCGTGCGAGACCAAGGTGTTTATGGACACGAGGTCGAACTACTGTGCCCTACGTCGCTTTGCTAGGGAGGCCATCGAGGCCAAAAGATCTTCGGACAGGTTAGGCTTAGTTCCTGGTTAGGTAGGTCCCGTTTAGGCGACGGGCGGGTTGGTGGGGACCCAGGGTGGGCGCTCAGGCGTCCGTCCGAATCTCCACTACAAGGCCCACCACTAGCCGGCTGGGGAGCCAAAATAGTGGGAGGTCATAGACCGGGTTGACCAACCGACGTCAACTTAAAACCTAGTCGGTGCCACGGGAGAGGGGAGCCCCATTGAACGCTGGAGCGGCCCGCCCGCTCTGGCTGCCTTGCCGCTCGAGGTTGAGGAGCCTACCTCGGCTGAAACGTGGTGGTTGTGGGACAGGCGTTAGATAGTAGAATCCAAACCACAGGACCTTGTGGGAAGACGGTACCCAGGTGGCACTTAACTGAGTCATCCCAGTCTTCAAGAAAGGTACGGGCACATGCCCGGTGCTGGTTTTCCATAGAGCCACGTACAAAAAACTCTAGAAGACAATAGTCTGGTGGGAGGTAGCACCCGCCTTTCTAGTTCCACCCCCGCCCGTAAGTAGCGCATAGCGCTAAGGCACGGACGAGGTGCGGTAAGGCGCAAGCCGAAAAACCCGGGCTCACCATGACCTAGGTATACTCTCCTTTATTTGTAAGTACCAATGATATCATTCCACATCCAATGACAATAAGTAGTGTCTAACCTACGGTTGAAATTTGTTACATGCCTAATTATTATTCACTTTGCACTTAGATACATATTATATACATTGTTTCTGTACATAACTTAGGTTACTCTGCCATGCCTACTCATACTTTACAATACTGTACTGGCTCAGTACAACATTCTAGAAAACTAAATGTCTATTTTATCATTAGAATTCCATTCAGCTTATTATACTATAATGGTATGTATAGAAAGCAAATTGTAGATTAACTTGAACGACATTCAATTGTGTTGCCGCTGTTTCAGATTTCAGTTGCATATCAAACACTGGGCCAAGCTCATACATGACTAAAATTTGATACCTAGATTAACTTACAACTATACTTATACATCAACTTTGACCTAAACAGGATACTTCACGTTTTGTTATATAAATTAACATTTTCTTAATGTTACTACTACACAAAGTAGGTATTACTAGACTCTTTACTAAACTCTCCTTTTTTTGTGAATTGTGTAGGTACTGGATAAGTGTTTTATCGTAGTGTTCATCACTTTCCTTACTGTATTTATACAACTTACTTTATTTGTAACACAGTGTAACATGTTATTTACTACTGATGTGTGTTATTTGATACAATAGTGGTGATAGATATAGGTGTACTTGATTTTATCACATTGGAGACCATGTATGATTTTATTAGTGTAACATACACCTTACATTCAACTTATCATATAAAAATTTCATATAAATGCACTATGAGTACATACACTTACTGTTGTGTATGAAACACAACCATTAAAAGTTCAACTCTTTGTATTTTAACTTTTATTATGGGTATTCACAACACAACCAATGAACAAAATACTTAAACATTTTCTTACATCTTACTACTATTCCTACTACTGCTACCATTACTTACACCTGACCTAGGTGTGTACTAGATATGTAGTACTCTTAGAAATAACACTTACTGTTATACAGTGCAATACGTTTTTACAATGTTTCAAAGATTATAACCATGTATGAATGCGCAACCATTTATACATTCTTCTGTGAATTTCTTTGTTTTTTGATTGGCTCTTGATTTTAAAGTTAAAATTCAGTTTATATGTTTACTACAATGACAATTTTAGATTATACTACGATGTAAAAGATTGTACCTATTAAGGTTAGGTTAAGCTTTTAATATTGATTTTACGTTCAATGCACAAAAAAATATTAGATATTTAATATTGTATACACTATACATATAGTATATATAGGTATACCTACTATAAACTCATGCTATAACTATTATAGTGTTCAATACATTCTTTACTTTATTTATAGTGGTGATAGATATAGGTGTACTTGAGCTCATCACATTGATGACTCTTTGAAATTAGTGTAACATAAACCTTACATTCAACTTATCCTATAAGAATTTCATATAAATGCACTTATTGCATATGAGTATACACGGTATAACACATGAGCACATTACACCTAACCAATACAAGATTATATTAAATATATATGAACACACAACCATTAAAAGTTCAACTCACCGTATTTTAACTTTTATTATGAGTATTTACAACCAATGAACAAAATACTTATACTTAGACTCAGGTCTACTCTCCTTTAATTGTAAGTTAGACATGTTTATGATATTTAAATGCCCATATTATTTCATAGAAATGCACTTAACCATGCTACATTACCAAATTAACCATAGATTACCTATGTTTACATAACTAACATTGTGTTTATACAATAGAGTGAAAGTAATAATATACATTCTACTGTTTTTTTTTATTAGATGTTGTTACTAATACTTTAGTGCAGCAGTTCTCTTTGAGTATGGATTTTGACGTTCAATGCACAAACATAATATTATATATTTAATTATTTAGAATTATAAAAACCCTCAATATTATACCTACTCTAAACTGGACCTAACTTTTAGGTACTTGGTGATGACGCGGATGGAGAGGAGGACGTGGAAGGAGTGGTGGTCCAGATGGACGTAGTGGAAGGAGTGGAGGTCCAGAGAGAGGACGTGGACGTTTTCGACTGTAGGTGGAGGAGAATGGGGAAGTGGAAGTGGCAGAAGTCCAGATGGATGGGATTGAGGACGTGGAAATCGAAGTGGCAGAGGAGGTGGCAATGGTGGACGTCGGGGTGGAGGAAGTGGAAGTGGTATATGAGGTGGAAATGGTCGAGGAAGTGGAAGTGGCCGACGAAGGGGTGGAGGACGACTACCCGGTAGAAGATATCGAGTACGTGGTAGTGGTCGAACTACTCTTAGGTCGTACGCCATGATTAACCGGCGTGCGGGCGTAACACACCCCCTTCCAGAGCGGCACTACGTGGGGGCGTTGGACAGAGGCTGCAGACATTGTTACGCCCGCCACTTCAGTGGCGAGAAAACAACCCGGGGTCACTTCTCCACGTGTTGTAACAACGGTTATGTGGTCGCTGCAGTTTGTTTATAGATGATTCCCAGGATGGTCGAAGATTTCGAGCGGAAGTACGGCGGTTCAACAACCTACTAGCATTCGCTGCGTTTGCCTCCAACGCACACGACAGGCGTTTGCCAGGGCGGAGACCGCCTGTGTTTATTGCCCACGGTCAGACATTTCGGACGACCAATCGTGACGACCAATCGTGAGGTGGCCGTCGCCCCGGAAAATGCGTACAACTGTCAGTTGTATTTCTTGGAGTCCGTAGAAGCCAACCACCGGCGCCGCGATATCAAATCGTGAACTGTGCGAAATCGTGATGGGTTTATTGGACGGTTTGCTGCGAGGCATCAATCCGTACGCAATGGCTCTTATGTAAGAAAACTTAAACTATTGTATTTATGAACATTAGGAATGTGAATTTCCCCTTAGAGTAAATACATTTTACACATACCTTTCTTAGAGTAGATAAAAAAATAAACATTTACCAATATAGACTTTTTTTTCGTTACATTTATCATTTTTAACGAGTGTTAATTTTTTTTTTAAATTTGCATTATTATATTATATATATTATTATTATTCGTTTGACGATATTTATTGGGCAAAAAAATATTATAATTAACATTTACCGACGCACCTACATGTTTCTTTTATTAATACATTTTAATATAACTAACTTACGTGTAGTACCTACTTGATATATTACAGTTTTTACGTGATTCCGATTTGGTTAAATACTGCTGCAGATTATATTAAATACTATATTAAAAAATAGTACGACTATATGACTGCTTCATTTGCCGTTTTTTTCGAAAATTCGAGTCCCGGGGTGGAGTTGTGTTTCGGAAATGAGAGTAGGTACCGTGTAGGTATCGCTATATACATACATATATACATGCGCCTCGAGGTTCGATTTTGTTTCGCAAATCTCGCGTTTTGAACGTCCGAAGGCGGCGGACACGGTCCTCCGCTCAAACGCCCTTTGACGGTCGCGCAACCCGCGTTCGCTATTCGCGGGGATGGCGACGCGGCTTAAGAGTCATCGATTTGACTCAGATGTTCATCTCAGTAGATGTCTAGGTAGGTTAGGCGCTAAGACAGGTGACTCGAGGGTCGTGGTTTCGAACCCGCCGCCCGAAAATCGATAATATTTGCGGCGGCCGTGATAAATTGATTTTTTTTTCCGTCGTTTCGCTATCACTTCCGTCTTATCATTTTTTTGTTCCGATTTTTTTCAAAATTCGAGTTTTAACGCCTATACTGACTTCGGACCTCCCCGTTGAAGACTTATTCGCGTTCCCCGTCAAATGATTTAGCAAAGCGGACAGTGTCTTTATTACTATACATGGGAGTGAACATAATATGCGACGAAGAGTTCGATTTCTTTAAAAAATTCGAGTTTTAGCTCCTTTTGGTCTTATTACTGTTAACTATATTATTCTAACGATTGGAATAGGAACAAATATACTAAGCAATCTAACATTACTACAACTATATATTACAATTAACAAAACACAATAGCTGTACAACGCTCGCCACGCGCTGTCCAGCTATACACTGACTAGTGACTATATTCTATTTATACAATGTGCACAGTCCACTCTCTCATCAGTGATCACCCCTACCACCACTATATGATAGATAACATTCGGGTATCCTGATGAGTTTAAGTGTCCTCACTTATTGAACATTGAAAACTAAGATAATATGAAAACATGTAATACATTATATATATATAAAAAAAATAATGTTAATACCACGGACTAAGATAGAATGGACTGGTAACGGTAGGGACGGCGGGGTGGTGGGGTCTGATCCCCAAATGTTTCTGCCCCGCTACACTCCTCATCTATCACAACTGACCAAAGTGTTACTGTAGCCATACCAATTATTCATTTTGAAAATTAATTTTTTTTTTTTTGCACATATTATGTATATTTATAAATTTATAACTGT